CAAGGACAAGTGCAAGGGACTGTAGCTGGCTTGGGGCAACTCCCGGTATCAATACGGGCTGGGGGATGAACAGCAGAGCAGCCCTGCTGAGAAGAACTTGGCCCAGAAATCTAGACGTGTCCTGGGCTGCATGAAAAGAAGTGTGGCCAGTAGGCTGAGGGAGAGGATTTTGCCCCTCTACTCTGCTCTCCTGAGACCCCGCCTGGAGTGCTACATCCAGCTCTGGGGTCCCCAACACAGGAAAGACCTTGACCTGTTGGAGTAAGCCCAGAGTAGGGCCACAAAGATGATTAGAGGGCTGGAGCATCTCTCCTTTTAGCAAAGGCTAGGAGAAATTGGGATTCTTCAGCCTGAAAGGAGAAGGCTTCAGGGTGACCTTAGTGGAGTCTTTCAATATTTAAAAGGGTTTATAAGAAAAAAGATGACAGACTTTTTAGTAAGGCCTGTTGCAATAGGACAAGAGATAATAGTTTTAAACTAAAAGAGAGTAAATCAAGATTAGATATAAGGAAGAATGTTTTTTTGTGATGGGGCTGGTGAAACACTGGAACAGGTTACCCAGAGAGGTGGTGCATGCCTAGTCCCTGGAAATCTTCAAGGTCAGGTTGGATAGGGCTCTGATCAAGCTGATCCACTTCAAGATGTTCCTGCTCATCTTGTTGGATTAGATGACCTTTAAAGGTCCCTTCCAACCCAAACTATTTTATGATTCAATGATGTATGATTCTATGATGATCTTTCTGCTCCCTGTAAAGTGCAAGGAAAAAAATGGAAAAAGCAAACTTCCTGAAGTTAGTGTGAATTGTATTTTTTTTTAACAGATAGTATTCCAGTTTCATCTTTTTTTATCTGTAATATCAAAAATACTGTCATTTAAATTAATTTTGTTTCCTGGTTCTCTTCTCTTTATTCTCAATGGCTTCTTTTCAAATTCAGGGCTACTGCTACTGTCTTATTTAAATTATTGTATTACTATTTTATTGTTTGGCAGATACTTCCTAAAAATTCTTCTGAAATAACATTGAACTATTTATATCAAGTGATTTTTCAGCTGTATTTTCAAAATACCAAGATATGGAAATTAACTTTAAAGCCCCACTTGACATGAGTAAGAGTTCCACAGTTTGCTGCTTGTAAATGGATGGATACTTCCATAAACCCTTATAAGAAAGAGCCCTAGTAAACGATACTGCAGGATTGGATCTTACACTAGAATATATAAATAAAAAATAGGAGGAAAATTAGTTGTGGAATGGAGAAATAGAGCTTGGGTTATTTATGGGTTTATACACCTTTTCCTTTCCCAAACCCACATTTCTTTACCTGTTGTCACACAAGTAAAATGATTCAGTGAGGTCAATGCATTCCGGCCCAAAAGGCAAAAATGATTTGCTGGACTAAACGAGGCTGGGCTCTTTTGGTTACCATTTTGCTTGAAGAGGCTTTCCTTATAGAAATGTCTATTTTCTTGATTCCCAAAGGAAACCCACACTGAATAAAATGTTATTAATTAAATTCAAATGAACTGAGCTGCATAATATGAAGTCAACCTAACAAATCAAGAAAGTCTATCTATTTAATTTGTGACACTACGTAAGGTTCTAAGACATTTTCCAAATCAGAAGCAACTGCAATTTTCAGCCCTTAAAAATACTAAACTGAAAGTAATATTAAAGAATAGATGTGTTAGGTTCTTAAATATTCTTGAGGCACTGTTGTCATTTCATGGTCAATGCCAGGTCTGTTCTGCTAATAATTTTTATGCCAATTATCATCCTGAGACTTATCTGGTCTATTACTCTCTCTCTAAAATAAAGATGAGTTGCACTGGCTTGTGTCAGATATGGTCCCAAGGAAGAGAATGGCTGAAGGTAATTTATCCCAGAACAACCTCCATCTGCTTGCTTTGAACACTCAGGGACTTTCAGTTTCATGTTTCCCTTGACCAGTACTTCCATTGAAGTACTGTGATTTCCACAAATGGATGCCAAAATGAGAAGATCAAGTTAATTTTCTTTTATGAACCAAGCCTGGATTAGAGTTTAGGTCTTGAGGAAGATGAAGACATAAAGCTAATACTCTCTTTCTTTCTATTGTTCAGTGTTCTTTTGTTTCTACTTACCTACCCTGTGCCTTACTCATAGATTTATTTTATAGATATAGGTCACTTCCAGGGTTTTACATTTGGAAATAAAATTTTGCTATAAAACAGTAGCAGTCATGGGAAAGCTTATTTTAATATCACAACATAAAAGCTGCATATATTATTTTAGGTTCAGAGATAAAATGAAGGCTGTTGCTGTGAATCTATGATACAGTAAAAAACAAATGAAGAAGTTACAGCTTGTTCTGCTGTCATACAAAACAACAAAATAGACAACTGAGCTGAGGATTTTCATTTCAATTTCCAGGAAGCTTTTCCATTTCAATATATGTGGAAATGTAAGGCATTCCGTGTTTCTGCCAAACTACAGTCTAACCCAAATAGTCAAGGGCATGGTAAGAATTGAGAGAATGGACTATTAATTTATTTATTCATTCATTCCTGTAATACTTTCATTAAACTAACATGCAAATACCACTGAAGAATATACTTCATACCTTTCCATGTTTTTATTGAGATTTTTTGTATTACATATACCTCCCCATCATATTCAAGTTAGTGTGAAGAAGGATTCACCGTAAGTGATGAACAGCTCAAACTCCAAGATACTACTCCGGAAAGAGTAAGATTACTGGTGAGACTTGTTAATTTGTTTAAAAACTGTAGTATTCATATTGTGATTTACTGATAATGGCTCGTTGTATATCCTGAGCAATACTTATTTTTGAGTAACTTCTCAAAAAATATGTTTACAAAGGCTTTTGTAGACAAACATGAAAGATTATCATACTAAAGAAAAAGAACTGAGACTAACGGTGTGAGATATACATTCTATTTTCTATGTGCCTCAACTGATGTGCTTACAGAAGAGATTTTCTTCAAAGGTTTTATCACAACCATAACCATAAGCATGTACATTCAATGCACAGCTGCTGGTGTAATCTAAGAAATTAATTTATATTGTGGAGTGAACTGTATGAAATTACCCCTAGGTTTATGGCTTGCTTTGCTCCAACATTTGAAGAAAACAAACCAAAACAGTTCCCTCTGTAACTGACCCTTTCTTTTAGTAGTAATAGTGACTAAAGAAAACCTGAAGACACTTAATGTCATTCAGCCCCACTTTTAGACGTGTTACATTAAACCCCCAAATTACCCTGAAGTAATATGACTATTTCCTGCTTCACACTTCACAGAATAAATAAAGAAAAAGAGAAGACCTGTTCTAGTTCCTAAATAAGGGCCTCTGGATTTATATTATGACAGTTAAGAACCTAATGCAAGTAAAGATCATCATACAGAGGCATAAATAGATCTATAATTTTAAACTAAGGTGAAGAAGTTCTGTGCTGGTACAACGATGCAATTCAATAATTAAAATGATTATACAACAGGTGGCATTCAACAGCACATAAAATCCTGTACATCAATCATTCAGGAAAGGCAATCAATTAAAGTACTTAGTGAAAGTGTAAACCAGAATATTAAAGTTTTAAAGCTATGTTATAGAGGCTCAATCATCTCTCAGGTTTCCTTTCTGTAACAAAATTCAAAAAGAAGGAACTAAAAAAGAGGAATTAAAGAAGATTCACTGTGACCTCTTGGGCTCTATAGAGAAATTAATGATTTGATAAGTACTTTGTGAACTGTGCTTGCTACAATGACATTTAAGAGATATTTTTTCAAATAACAACAGAGAAGTTTGATGGCGAGATATGATGTTCTTAATTTATTTTTAAAAAGAATTTGTTTTGACTGTTTAAATGAGCCTATTCATAGCAATTAAAATCTCTTAGGTATTTGAAATAAACCAAGGCTGCAGTTCCATTCATGATGGTAGCCTACAGAAACAACAAGGCTCGCTGACACCAATAACCATTCCTGAAATGCAAGAATAATAGACACTCTTAAAAAGTTTCTAATACTCATGTACTCTTTGTCTGGACCTAAACTTCATTTATTCACCCCAATTTTTTCCTCTTGCTTTTAACAGTCATTCAAGGAGTGTTTCATAACATAATTTTTACTAGGTATAAGTACAAAATGTCTGGCATGGTAATAATCATGTCATTGCAAAGAATGTTAATAGCTGCTGTGTCAATAACCTGACACCATATTTAATGGAAATAAGGTTCAGAAATAGAGAACTGGTAGTGTCTGAAAATGCCTTGGTTGACTGTGGGGAAAGGTGGTAGAGGCCATCTTTTGTCTGATGACCAGCCCTGGTCTGTATTGTCTGCCTTAGTGATCAGATCTTCCCTTGTACAGGTCTGCAGGGGCCAATCTCAAATTGTGTGTTTTAGTGCAAGAGGGAAGTGGGTCAGTTACAGAAAAATTATTCCCTGTGACTTGTTTTATCCTACAAAATCCATCTAGTTTAACTGCAATCGGTAGAACAGAAACATTTGTTTTCTCAGTCACAGAATTGTTAAAGGACCTTTGCTTTGTGTTTCTCCTTCTGCTCTTATTCTGTCCTTAATATATATATATATTTTTTTTTCCCCCGACTATGTATGTCAAAGGACTACCGTTCAGTACTGGTTTTGGCTGGAATAGAGTTAATTTTCTTCTCAGTACATGGTATGGGCCTATGGTTTGGATTTGTGCTGGAAACAGTGTTGATAACATAGGAATTTTTTGGTACTGCTAAGCAGTGCTTGCATGGTGTCAAGGCCTTTTCTGCTTCTCACACCCCAACCCACCAGTGAGGGGGCTGGGTGTGCACAAGGATTTGGGAGGGGACACAACTGGGGCAGCTGGTCCCAACTGACCAAAGGGATATCCCACACTGCATGATTCATGCTCAGTATATAAAGCGAGTGAACAGCTGTGTGGGGCTGAGCTGCCTAACAAGGCTAAACCCGCAGTTTACCTTGGGAAAACATACAGCTGTTTCTGTTTCATGTATCCTGGTGCTTTTTTCCCCTGTGCCTTTATAGCACAGTTTCATCACGTGCAGTGCAGATGTGCCCAGTGATGCTGAGGGAGTGGTTCATCACACTGTACTGAGTTCCATATGCTGGCAAACCAGCGCACTGCACCCGGCTGATTGAGGCTGTCAGCTTCACGTCACAGTAGCCAGCAGCAGCCCGTGACCTTCAATTCCTTGCTAATACTTCTTCACAACTTCCATACTTGCAGGCTAGCCTGAAAGGAAAATAAATAAATAAGAAATAAACAATTAAGGATAATTTGCTGTGTAAAGCTCATCGTTAAGAACAAAGAAACAAATAAATGGTTGACCCTTTAAGTTATGCATTATTTCTTTTATTCATCCATATAAACAGGAGAAATTAGCATAGTAAATGCTGTTCTGTATGTGAATTACTCTTTTTTTAAATAAATACTTTGGGAGCAGTTTTATACACTTTGGAAGCTTGAAGTCCCCTGGTTATAAATCATCAATGTTCCGTGTGGCACAGGCATGTTTTAAACTGTGTACCCCCTGGAAAAAACTGCATATTGTTTTTCTGAGTGTTTTTCCCTTTCCCCCTAAATTTATAAATCATATTGTCACCTTCCTAAGCGATTAATTTTCTAAATTTTTATCTGCCTGTAGAGAGAGGAGAAAAAACAAGAGATATCCAGTCTTTTCTTATCACTGTACTATTTGAGCTGGTAGAAGTGCTGAAAGGCTCAGACTGTATTAAGGATTCAGCTTAGTTTTCAGATCACCTTTATTGCTATTGAATACCTTTCCTTAAAACAAGTACAAAGAGCATTTGATTGCCTACCTAAAAATAGTGCCTTTTAATGGAAAGAAGGAGATGCTGAACCTGCAACAGAGAGTGTGGGAAGAAGCTGGGGCTGTACTGACCTGCACGCAGTCACAAAGGATGCTATCAATAGTAACCTGGGTGATTTGGTCTGATCCCAGATGATTAGGCAGTTATGACAGTCACGACCCCTGCCAGGTTTTAGCTCTCCTTCAGCAGATGACCTTCAGGATGCTCTATAGTAGGAAACCCTTCAATATTACTTCTGAAAAAAGGAAAAGATTTCATTGATTATTATTTTAGTTCATCAACTTTAAAATTAATAAAATGCTCAGACTGCAGACATAATTGTATTTCTGTCCCTCAGAAAGGATACACGTATTGGGAAGACTGATACATGCTTTGCTGTAGCACCATGCAGCTATTATGGCATTACTTGTACAGAGTACACTTCTCTATTGTATATGTTTTCTTCAGCTTCTTCTGCTGCACTAGAACCCTTTGCTTTCTTGGTGTATGAGTTACAACAGCTCTAAATTTAGAACTTTGCTCCTGTTGTCATGTATAACATACCCCACTTATGGAAGTGGCCCAGAGACTCATCTTAATGATTTTATCACCTCTTATGGTGATAAAATGGTGGATTTGAATCTTATTGAAGATTTTATGCTGTTTGGATAATAAATAGCAAGGACATAAACCAAATATATCCTATTACACTAGTCAGAGATTCCTCAGGCAGGGGGGATTGTCAGAACAATACAAGTCCTAAGTGTTGGAGTACTCCATAGTAAATGCAGCCATCAGAATCATACTGACATCCAGCTTCAGATTACTTTGCTGAGCACCCCTCAGAATGATGGCATGTGCCTTTCATCTTTCTCCCATGGATTTCCCCGTCTGAGCCTGTTAATCTGAACCTGCTTACTTCCTAGAAACTTCATAACATCAGCAGCAAATTATTATTTGCATGAACAGTCTCACTAAAGTACAGTTCCACCACTACTACTACAAAAAGGAGTAAGATCTTTGTAATCAAGCCTGAAGCTGAAAAAGGGAGCAGTAGGTAAGATTCATGGCTAGAGGCAATGCCAATTAATTTTATGAATTAAAAGTAAGTAAATAAATAAGTACTATTTTCCCTGACTCCATCTCTTAACTGTGTGCCAACATGTAGAATCTCTCACAGTTCATGACTAACACGAACAAGTGTTTCTTCAGGAAAAAAAACCCCTCCCCATCCACAGGTCCCGAATGTTTAAGTCTTGAGTAATTGAAAAACTCCTCACAATTCCACAAGAAAATCAGATCAAAGACACAAATATCAGTGGGGAAAGGTTAGATCAATTAATGCATCTATCTGTAGTACCTGTAATATTGAGATGGGAATGGTCACATGAAAAGCACATTTTTATTTTGCTGTAAAAATAAATACTGTAGCAATAGAGGGTAGTGTGCAAACCAAAGAGAACCTGGAAGCTGAGGAGTACAGTTTTGTGTTTGCATTGGATCTGGTTGAGATGGAGTTAATGTTCCCCATAGCAGGCCTCATAGTGCTGTGCTTTGTAGCTAAAAAGGTGCTGATGATATAGCAGGGTTTTGAATACTGCTGAGCCAGTAAACTCAGGGTGAGTGGGCCAGGTCTTGAGAGGGGGTATAGTCAGGATAGCTGACCTAAACTGACCAAAGGGATATTCCATACTTTATGACACCTGCTCAGTTACAAAAGCTAAGAGAAAGGAAGAGAGGGGGTTAGGGTCATTCCTTATTATGAGTTTGTCCTGTGGACAAATCATAACATCGTTCCTACTTCCCAGGGAGTGGTTTGACAACACCTGTTGATGGGAAGTAGAGAATAAATCTTTTGTTTTCCTTTGTTTCTGCATGTGGCCTTTGCTTTTGCTTTATTAAACTGGCTTTATTTTGACCCATGAAGTTTTTTTCATCTTATTTTCCCAACTACTTGTCCTGCTGAAGAGGGGACAGATAGAGTGGCTTAGTGAGCACCTTGTGTCCAGCCAAGGTCAACCACCACGGTCTTACACGGTGTTGTAAGAAAAGAACCCTACAGACTGATGGAGTGGAAATAAAACCAGGTAGAAGTAAAGAGTCTCCCTAAAGATGAATAAACCTAGAGAAGAAGAACACTTCTGTCTCAGAAATAGAAAAAAATCCTATAATGAAATTAAAACAAATGAAAAGGTGTACACTTCATAAGGAAAATAACAAATCTAAAGGTTCATATGCTCTAAAAGATATAAAAAAATCTTATGTTAGCAGTTATAAAACAAAAATCTCTTTTTTGTAGGTTACCAACAGTCATTTTAAGACTGTCACTAGACTTTTTAGTATATACACTGTCCTGTTAATAGTGCCTGAGTAAATGAATAGGTAGTAGAAAAAAAAAGTAAAAAAAAAGAAAAGAAAAAACAGTAGGTCCTGAAGCTATTATCTGTTTCCAAATCTTCATTTTTGCGGATTTCAGATGTGTATCTAGAAAGGACCTACTCCCTGAAAGGGATGAGAGCAAAGACACCAACCCAACATTTACATAGGTTGGAACTAACCACCTAAACAGAGAAGCAATACTGGACATTTACATGCCATCTTGTATCTGTGCTACAGTATGATGTCCCTAAGTCAACAGGAATGGAATAAGCCCCTTTCTGCTTCCCCAAAAAGGCATAGGTTACAGAGGCTCTGACTGTGTCTGGTTCTTGTGCATAATCATATTGCTCTATTATTACAGGGGATTGTCTCAGTGAAGAACCCAAAGCTAAAACATTGGTCTCCTGAGATCCTATGACCTGTCACTGCTAATCTTTGAATGCTTTCTGAAAAAACCAACATCAGCAGTGTGAAGCAGGTCTATAGTGTTACTGGAGGTCTTTTGCACTCTGAGTACTTCGCACTTGCATCTTTCACTGTAACTAGTGAAGGCACACATGTGGCTAGGTAGCCCTGTGCTTAGACTATTTTGCCTATATTCTTGATCTCAGCAAGCTCAGGACAATGCCTGTGGCTTTACGTCCTAAAAATGGATGTAATTTTTTCAACTCTGCATGTTACTTGGGTTCTTGATATTGTACCACCTCTTCCCTAGCTCCTCATAGAGCTCTAGCTCCTCATAGAGCCCAGTGGCAATTGGATGTTCAATTAGCTGTCATTCTGTTGGCTATATGCACTGAAGAGGGAAAGCTATGATTTTTAAGGAATGTACTTATTCCCTTGTGTGAGTCAGATTCCCTTGCATTCGATCTAAAATAGTATTTATTGAAAGGTGCTAGATTATTTGCTCTACGAAACACTGGAAATAAAAGTTGTCCAGTCTTCTTGAATTCACTGAAAAAAGAATAGGGAGATAATCATGCTGCTAGTTACTGTACATGCCAATTTGAAAGAGTTTTTCTTCTTTCATCTAGGATTTACAATACACTTTCAAAGAAGAATTTACATAATGTTATATGCAATGACTAAACTTTCCTCAATGAGAATGTCTGTACTTGTGTTGCTTTTAGCAACATTCCTTTACTGTTTTCTTTGTGGATGATTGAATTATAGTTAGGATAAATGAAAGAAAGAAAAGGATTATCTTTCTGGTATAGAGAAGATGTAGAGCTTTGGGCACTGGGGAATTTTGATTCGAAGATCACATGATCTATTTGGGGTTAAGTATTTTTCATTGTAAAACCAGATCTTTATTTTCCTTAAAATGGTATTACTACAGCTTGCTTAGTTATAACTAATGTCTGTTTTGATAATTTAGAGCAGGAAGACCACGATTGTTAACGTACTTCCTTCCCTGAAATATGTGTATTTATTATATACAATTATTTAAAATAATCTGGCACAAATTGCTTGAGATTAGCTGGAATTGATTTACAAATAGTAGAAGAAATTATACTTATGGTACACCCTTGTGTTTGTGGGATATGGCCTTTCTGAATCAGAGAACAGGTTCTTCTTATTATTAAACAGTTTCTCTTGTGGATAGAATATTACTCTCTGCAGAACACCATCACAGCTGTGAGTCTATCTGCAGTTGGATAGAAGTCTGCTCTGCCAGATAAATGTCAAGGCCTGAATAGCCCTTTTGTGTCAAAAACCCTTCTGGGTGGAATATGGAACAGATTTTGAACAGGAAAGGAAAGTATTTCAGGCCAGATGGTTAATCTGATGGAGTCATATTCTGGCAGAAGGAAAGAGTAGTATTGTGTAGTTTAGCAGTTATGTCAGGGAGAGAAGAAAGCCCTTTTGCTAAGTTAATGGAGATCCATGATTGTGCTGGACTCTAGGGTAATATGACAGTTCCTAATAATACATAATGGGACATAGCTACTGTAGCATGATAAAGTTTTCATGCTGTTTTACTCTTTCAGTATTTCCTGAATGGCACTGGCTGAGAACCATATTCTTGCAAACAATTCCTTGTTATTTGAAGGTTCTATTTGTATCTCCATATGTGTGATCTGGATTTGGTTGTATTAATAGTTTTTTTTGTAATTTTTGTAAGATGCGTCTCATCCATGTGACATTCTGGAGAGGGGTTTTCATCAGATTGTAGAGTTAGAAATGGTTTATTCATTCTGTGGAAAAGATTGGAACTGAAATTACCAGCTCCTGTTATAGTGTGTCTAACTTGTCATCAAATGCAATCATTTATAATATGGGATTGGAGATCAGCAATTTATTAAAGAAAAGAAAAGCCTGGTATAAAAGCTGGTTTAGGATTTCAGATAAAAGGGCTAAGAAAGCTGCACCATCTTGGGCAACACAGCAGTGAAAGGCAGCAACAGCTTACTCCTGTTGAGATCCTCATTTCCTGCTATCTAGGCCTCTCAGAAAGGCTGATACACTTACTGATAAGACACCTGAGGTTTCTGAGAGGCAGCGTCTTCTGGTCCTCACTGATATTACTTTTTGACCTCTTTGATGTCTAAGTTAAGAAAGAAAAATGCAGGCTGGCATGCTACCCTCAAAAGATTGCACTTTCTCATCAGAGAGTGGTCCTTGAGAAGTCAGGACCTAGTTTATATGTCGGTGTTTTATTAGTAGAGAAAATGAATGTAAATCTGAAAATAAAATGCATGAATAACAGGTTTCATTACAGCATCATAAAAGAACCTTGATGAGAGAGCTCAGTGGATTGTATTTGGAATATGTCTGTGGTGAGGAAAGGAAAGGAATTTATTTGCAGAATATTTAGGCAGTTTATGGAAGTTCTAATTAATCTCTTAATCTTTAAATGTGATCTATGATTTTGAG